ACAACACGAAGAATTGTTCCTCGGGTTTTCAGCAAGTCTCCCACCGTGTCTGAATTAAATAGTTTTTGTTCGCGGAGGTTTCTGCTCGAGAAATGGATAGGTCCTCACTGGGTGCTTTGGCGTTTGTAAGGTGACTGTAAATGTGAGGACAAAAAACCACGCGCACTTGGGGATAACGCTCGGAATGCAGCCTCCTGCGTTGTCATTTGCCGGTCGTAGTGAATGACTTCTTCTGAAGTGCGTTGTCTCAAGCACACTGATCTGTGTGAGATCGACCCGAGCCTAACTAACCCTCCAATAGACGTGTGCCCAACACACCCAGATTCACGCGCTGACGTAGACTCGGAGTGGTTTGATGGACACTTGACACGTCGTGACTAACACGGGGTTCGTGATGTTGTGCTTTATTACAAAAGCGGCCGATGGATAATTCTCAGTGAGGACTTTTGCCTTGCGCGCAGCAGAAGGGAAATTTGGACGATTGCTTTTGGTGTGACCCTCAGTCTGAGTAGTTCTTCCACCGCTTTGTTTAATTAATTATTATTCTTTTGCCGAGCTTGCAGGAGGGCTGGAGCGGCTTGTACTTTGACAATAAGTAGCACTTGCATCACGCCTTCAAGTGATGGGAATTTGCATACAAATCGATACGAGCGTGTTGCGACATGCCAAATGAAGAGCCCGCCGTGTCAATGGAGCGAGATATTGTCCCCAGAGTTAGCACAGTGGCAAGGAGACGGCAGGCAGCGGGGCTTCACAAATGCTTGCGATGCGCTTCCCTGCGCGCGGTGTTTGTTCAGAGTTGCTGCAATGTTCGACGGTACGTGTCCATCGGCGAGCCAGTCTGTCAGTCGCAGCACTTTACCTGGGTTTCGATGTAAAGCTTTCGTGACTGCAGGGATTCATCTTCTTGGTTCTTTCGGTAAAGTCGCGTAGAAGGGAAATAATAAAATAATAAAAATAAAACATTATAAAAGAATAAAATAATTATTTTATTGTTATTTCCATTATTTTATTATTTCCCTTCTACGTGACTTTACCGAAAGAACCAAGAAGATTTATCTGGGTTGTTTTTGTTGTACGGAGTCGAGTCGGGGCTCGTTTTGACCAGACTAAACCGATGACCTTTGACCGAGGTAAAAAAAAATGTTGGTAAACATTTTTCCCCATGTGAACCTGCAGTCTAGGTGGAGGACTTAGTTCAGGTCACTCATGCCATGCGTTTTTATGATGCGTAGTTAGAAGAGGATTCATCTCATTAATAGGACTGCCTGGTTAACAGGCTCGTTTTTGAAGCCATCAAGTTTAAGGTAGATGTCAAAAATATCAGTGTCCCCTTGCTCAAATGAGCAATGGGTCAGCACTCCTCTCTGTGGGAAGCGCTAAGGCAGTGGCAGGAATTCCACATCCCCATGGTGGCGGCCTTTCTCTCCATAGAATGACAACTTTCGACTTGCCATTGGAATGGTACTGACTCTATCGACCCTTGGCAGCACGATTGGCTGAATCAACCCATGACCGTAATTTGTAGTCGCAACTTTCCTATTGTGAGTCAAGCCACCCTCACTGCTGCACCGCCAGCCATCCAGGTGTGTAACTCACGTGAAACTAAATCTCAAACCCACAGTACTGGGAAGTCTAAATAATGGGTTTTAGATTTCAATGCAGTTCTGTTGTGTAACCCTGAACCCTGTTTACGTTTGATTTATTTACATTTGTTTTGCAGTGTTGTTGAGCAGGAGTGCCAGAGCTTGCATTGTCACGTGTTACACCAGTCCACCGCCACGCTTTATCTAAATAAAGCCTTGCCGATGGTATGCATGACAAATCTCGTGGTGGGAACCTTTGTCAGGTGTAATCAGGGTGTTGGTTGATTCTTTGGGGGGTAATAATAGATTGCATTTCCATTTTAGCATCTTTTACGATGGCCTGTTGGCCGGCGCTGTCCTTCCGTGAAGAGGCTGCGCTCCGTATCTGGTGCGTTGACCTCCACGATGCCTTCACTCGGGGCCCACCGGAGCAAGAATAATTTCTGCCGGTAAAAAGAACATTTCCTCGATGGACCACACACTTCCCTTTGCTTGGTCGCAGAAAGGGCTTGTGATTATTAACAGCGCGCGACTCGAAGGTGCCCCTCGTCACGCAGCGGTCGATAAAATGTAGAACGTCAACAACAGTGGTTGTCCGATGTCAAATAAAAAAAAACTTGACTTACGTAAGTTGAACTTTCTTTCGCAGCGCAGGTAGCCAAGCGTGCTAATCGGAGGTGCGGGGGAAAGACAACAAACTAAACACAAAAAACTGTTCTCAAGAAATTAGTTTTAATCTCGATTTTAAAGTGCATAGCTCCCAGTGACTTCCTAATATCGGAAGGAAGAGTGTTCCAGATGGCCACAGAAGTGCATCTGACTTCCCACCACCCAACACAACATAGGAACGTGGAATTTCCACCACTGGTTTTTTTGGCTACCAATTCAGATGGCCACTGCCACTATTTATTCTGAGTTCGTGCGACTCTTAGAATTGTGGCTGTAATTATAAAAGCTCATCACATTGTTAAACGTGTTAGAGCCGGGGATGGGATGTTTCCCCGTGAGGGCTGTGGATTTGCAAGCCCAGGCAGAAACGATCACGAGACTTTCAGCTACGTGCAGTGGGGGGAAGTCCCCTTGTTATTCCTCCGTAATGCTTCTCTGACTCTCGCACCTTCTGTGAGTGAACGAAAAATAAAACCTACAACTCACTTCATGATGAATTACTACCGCGCACACACAAGTGAACACAGAGCGGAACACGATTGTCTGCCTTGCTTAATGCGACACGGGCACATCGTGTGTGTTGGTGATGTTGTACCGGTTGCTTGGGCACAGTGTGTGCCGTATGGACGTCGTTTTCAAAAGCAACAAAAGGGGGGAGAGGACGAGTCGTTTTGGAGAGTGAAAGAGCCATTCAGATCGTCCTCGGTGATCGTTGACAAAAGCGGGGACTTCCCTTCTCGGTGTCCCCTTCAAAGGCAGTGGCACAACACAAGTGGATTTATCCTATTTTTTCCAGGAAGGCCAAGTGGGCTCTGGTTTATGTGACGATCAACAAACTCCTCCAGGTATCAGGAAACCTGATCACGTCTTGGGAAGCTTAACTTGTTTTTTTGTTACCATACATTTTCCGGTCGCGTTGACTGTTAAGACAAGTTGAGTGGATTTGGGAAAGACACGTCACTAAAGTGGATGATCTCTTGGTAGGCGAGATTGGTGACGGAATGAAATCCAAAGGGAAAGAAGGGAATGCGCCCAATCGCACGACCGCAGCAGAGATGGAGCGATAGTTTTGTTTCTGTTCATGCGCCGGAGTGAGATGGATTGTGGCACCGTGGGACTGTGAGGTGATGGTGACGGACCTGGCAAGGGCTGAATCCACCAGCAGACCGATCGCGGTTGATGATTGCGATGCTGCGAGCAGTTACATGGCAGTGTTGGTTAATGACAAGGGTGACAGGTTAAGAAGATGCGGCCTTCTTTGTCCGCCTTCACAGCCATCGAGACACCCACAGCCTCCTCCGCTGAGGACTTCTCGGATTGCTCTTAGTCTGGAACATCCCCTTTGACCTTGACGCCCATGGGTGGCCGACGCCGTCGCTCTCGGGATCGTTGGAACACGCAAACTTCACCACCACTATACGGCGGCGGATCCTCGGGAGAGGGATAGGAGAATTGCCACCGAGTCTGGATTGGGTGCCACCGCCAAGGAAGTGCTTTGCACAATGTCGAGCTGGTGGCATTAGTCTGCCACCTTGTGGATTCTTTTTTTGATGCGGTCACACCAGCAACGTAAAATCTACCTTTCCTTATTTTCTGTGCCGGAGCAGTAGGATCAGTCGTGTGCTTGAACGCGTGTTGTGATGTTGACGGCTTGTTATGTGCAGTCTTAAATCCTGCGAGAATTAATTAATGATGTTGCTATCGCTCGTCACTTGCTCTGCAAAGAAGCACATTATATGACGCTCCACGGGATTTCATTAGCAATACATCCATTTATCGTAAATGTAGTGAATTTACTTGAACTACTTTCTAAGCAACGATAAAGGAAATGTCACAAACCTGCTTTTAATTTACAATTTAGTTTATTCGTACAGCGGTAACTGACACGCTCCGAACATTGACATGAGAACACCATTACATTGCCCAGCACTCGGAACTCGGCCAATGCATTTTTTTGCATTTGCATTCATTTAATATATAGTTACACATTGCAGGTGTGTGGGGCCTTCAATCCCCCTCGCCCCCTCCCCCACAGGGAGGGTACCGGGGATCGAGCACCCACCCACGTGACCTTCCCCGAGGGATAAAGGAAATGTCACAAAGCGGCGTTTTAATTTACAATTCATTTTATTTCGTACCACTGGCTGATTCAGGCTGAGTGAACTTTGCGGACACGTTGCACAGCTCGGTTATACCTGTGGTTAAATCAACCTTATGCTCATTTGGAATAAATAATCACGAACGTGATCGAGCAATAAGATTACACTACTTTGAAAATGCCAAATTCATGAGTTCTAAGACCTCGAGTAGCGCAATACCCTTCTTATCCGTGGCTGTGTAGGGGCTGCCATGGGGTGAAATCTACTCTCCGTGGAAATTACCACTATCGCTTGCGCAGCTTTTCTTAGATGAACACGAACAAGAGGAATAATTGGGTGTCATTTCCATCCTGCTGTCTCTTGAAGAGTCACGAATCCGGTGCTCCCGAGAAACCGCCAGTGGCGACGGATAAACGCGGATAATCAGTAAAAATATTTCCAGCACTGTCGAGTGACTGCTATTATCCTGGGATAATTATCAGAAGAGCCGATGGATGGATGGATAGGCGGAGTTGTCAGCATAATCGATGGCAAGAAACGGGTGTTGTCTCAACATTGCCCCTCCGAAACGCTGCCTCCCGTGCCGACCCGCTTCTCATCTCTCCGCCTCAACCCCTGTCCCCCTCGCCCCTATTTCCCGTGGCAGCCATGGAGAGCCGAGGGCGGCTGCGAGCGTTCTCGCGGCCCAGCGTCGGCAACTACTCGACGCTGCTGCTGTCGGAGCAGGGGGACGTGTTGTACGTCGGGGCACGCGACGCCATCTTCTCGCTCAACCCCAGCAACATCTCCGAGGAGATGCACAGTCGGGTGAGCTTCTTGTCTTCCATGGCGTCTAAAATGCAACCGCATCTCCAGACGCGCTGTTCAAGAACAGTGGGCAGCTCCGGTTAGCACGGTCGGCTATGCACGGTGCGAAAGAAGTTGAACAAACGTGCATGTTTGTTGACTTCATAGAGAGAATAGAAGAGGCAGTCGCTCATAAGCAGAGAGGAGCTTTGACTTGGATCAGCGACAGGGAGTCGACAGCAAGGGCGGCTGGGCAAAGCCTCCCTGTACCATCAACTGCAGCCGATTGAAAGTGTGCAGTTATGGCCCTGGCACCCTTGTGTGTCTCCAACGAGAAAAGAGAGAAACACTTGAATTGTTAGAATCAAAATGTCTACTATTCGTTGAGCAACTTATTGTTTCCAAATGTAATTGTTTCTTGACCAGCCACCGTTGCTTTCGTGTGTTGTGATTTACACGTTGTTTTCTGTTTACAGTAGCAGCTTGATTTCAATTGAACATAAATAATTGCGCGTAGCTTATTTCGACGTAATACGAATTCACAAACGCATGCGTTCCTGGCGATGTTGTCCAACATCAGTAGCAGTTGGCACCACGGCCTGGCCTGGTGCCTCCTTGAGGCCACTTCAACTTCAAGTGAGTGCATAGGCCTGTGTGGTCAACATCGTCACGAGGGAAATTAAGGTGGCACGAGGCTTATTAGGTGCTCGCCAACAGCAGGACCCGTCACAACAAATGTTATGACTAAAGGTGTATTAGGCATTCGGTGATTCACCCCTCAAACAATGTGATGAATTGTGAATATTCCGCCTCGTGATGTGATTAAAAAAGCATCGTTTGTCGTCTCGTTTTTTCTCATCTCGTTTGTATTGTTCGTAAGGTGGTTTTGGTCTCGCTACAATGTGTTTTGTTCCATTAGACTAAATCTTAATGGAAGTGTATCATTTTTATTCAATTTCCGTAAATGTTAAATACAGCAATCGATGAATAAACGCAAGATGCATGGTGAGCAAAGGAGTCGATTTTATTCAATGAATCGATGAATTTCTACATGCGTAATTCGTACAGACGCAGTCTACTCGGTTCAGTTTTGACATCTCGAATTGAGTGCGTAGCTGACGATGTGCGTGCATGGGGCAAAGACAGCCGGGGCCACGTTTCCCAATGTGCACCTCGCACACACAATCATGACATCAGCTATTTCGCAACAGAGTTTTCATTTGAAGTCAATATTTTCGCGCTAGATATAACTTGCACATTGTTTTTCCACCCTTTTTCAGTCGCTGGCATTTTTGCACTTGGTACGATTCAAACACGACGAAGCTGCTCCAGCTCAGTGTGTTCAGTGATTTCATTCAAAACAATTAGGCCCTAGTTAGGGCGCCATGGCAAATATTTACCCATGTCACATTAATCATCACATGTTCTTGCAGTTGCTTAAAGTTTGACAGAATTCCTTTAAAGAATAAATGTTTGAAAAAGGTTTTGTTTATTGGCTCTTAACTTGCGTAAATGTTAATGCACAATAGTGGAAATGCAGCAGGTGTGGAAGCAATTATTTAGAATTTTATTTATTTAGTAAAATTGTGGTACGGTTTTATGACATACCAGTCTGTGTAGTTTAATTATGGATTAATATTGTGTAACCTCATAAGTATGCATGCACTGCATGTTCTCTATGCTCACGTGAGCATAACTTATATTAATATTATTATAATAACACATTTAATATTTACTGTGCGGTGTGTACATATGCATTCCTACGTGTATACACATACACACCGCACAATGTGCATACCAGGATGATACTGCAGTGTATTGGTTACACTTTAATAAATACAATAGACTGTACAAATTTTGATGATGAGCTATTTATAAAAGGCACACCAATGTAACAATGCAAGTCCCAATTGCATTGTATACACTATCATAGACCACTTGGATTGCCTTTGGGAATACATGTTGTACGTCAAAAATTAAGAACTGTAGCTTCTCAAATACCAAAAAATCTCTATATTGAATCAGATTCTTTATTTATCTTGGAGGAATCTGATGAGCTATGAAGCTCTCACAGATGTCGAGTACTGAAACCTTCTTACAGTCTCACGTGAGCAGAAAGATCGTGCAGCGCGTGCACAATTATGAGGTCACACTTTGTGTGTGCGGCAATGTTATAGCTGCGAGAGACGTGAATGAGTGACCGTTGCTTTGTCGTTGGCCAGGTCGACTGGGATGCGTCATCCAAGCAGCAAGAGTGTGTGATGAAGGGCAGAAGTGAAACGGTGAGATCGCATGATGCAACCCTCATAGCCACACACGTGACTAAAGGGGAAACACACTTTGGATTGTTGCGGCCACTGAAAAGCAAACCAGCTCAGTTCATGAACTGGGCTACCCCGGGCCCAGCTGCCTGTCTTCCCACAGCAGCCTAATCGTGTCCACCCGGCACGAGGTGGCCTCAGTAGGTTATGGGCCATGTGGGCTGGCCCCCTTTCATAATTTCATGCAGGCTGACTTCCGAACCGGTCGTTGCATTGGCCAGCTCACTGTGGAAATGAGACACACGGTCAACGGCGTCACTCACATTTCAGGGTCTCGTTTGTTTAAACACACGTGTTGGGAAATGTAAACAATAATAGGTGTTTCCTTGGTATAGAATTGGCTGAAGGCCTTTTTTATTTTATGATCTCTCAATAAGGCCACGGGGGGCCGGGGGTACTGAACAGAATGGGCCAAGTACTCAGAGCCGCAGTTCACAAAGTTTTGGACAAGATCCAGTTCGTGCCAGCACAGCCCATGGCCATTCCTGGGACACCAAACTTGCTCGGCTGTGGTCTCAAAAATGTAGTTACGATCTAGCCCCATCACACTGACAGTGCGTTCTACTGTGGCAGTCGTCATAAGTTCAAATTCTTAAAAAGGGGTTACATCCGGCCTAATCATCCATTCAGGTGCGATAAAATGAGTACATCATTAGATCTCCTTTGCCAGTACCAAGATATGATAATAGGGTTTCTCCCCTTTTTTCTGGCAACAAAACTGAAACCTTTTTTTAACCACAATACTTGCAGTCAAATGCAAACAAAAAACACACTGATAATATATGCATTGTCCTTGATTGAAGGCCGTTGGTGTGGACCAATCAGTTTCAAGGACAATGCAAATATCATCAGTGTTTTTTGTTTGCATTTGGCTGCAAGTATTGTGGTTAATGCAGACATGAATCCTTGTAAAAAGGGTTTAGTTTTGTTGCCAGAAAAAACGGGACAACCCCTATTGTCAAAATGAGTACAATTTGTGAGTCAAAGTGTTTGTCCTTTAGAGAGACTGGCCTCAGCGGTCAGAATATGGAATTTCCATCACTGGCTTAAGGGCTGCCAATAAAGGAAAAAAATGGTCATTGCCCATTGGAGTGGGGGAGGGATTTTGACCAAAGTATTGATTAATTTGGTTAACAATATTATTCCATTCTCACTGCACATACCAACTTATTTGTGTGTGTGTTCACACATTTTTAAACCAGGTGAATAGATGTAATGACTTCTGCTGGTGATGAATGATGTTGACGCACGTGGAGTTGCTGATGAGCCTCACGAATATTTTGCTGAAATAAAGATATTTTCTGCCTCGACTAATTCCTATAATTAGTACATAAAATGAGGGGCGTTTAAATCTGTGAGGTGAAAGAAAGCTCAATCCTGTGGTGTATTATGGGCTTGGTAGATTAATGTTTTACAGCGACATTGGCTTTAAATGCCGTGCAACGATTATTTTCTAGCCTTGCCATCATTGGTTTGGCTGCAGGCGACCCTCCACCCAATTTGGCACTGGGTTAACAGGCGAAAATATTGCGGTAAAAAAATATACAAATTGGAAAAATGAAGTCTGTAAGACCAGTAGGCCATAAATTTAACATTTATTTTCCTGAATGCATTTTACACAAATCAGATTTCCACTCACGGTCACCAACACCAGTGACGATTATCAGAATCGGTTCTGGTCTGGCCCTAGGTCGACTTGGCCTCAAATGAGTACCTATTATGGTGTTCTGAGATAATGGCGGTGATCGGTCGTGGTGCTGGCCACCACCCCGTGCGCCATGCTGGCCTTAATAGGTGCTCGCGAACAGCACTTGCCCTAACAGTTTGTTAATAGGCTATACGGGGGATCTTTGTCTTTGTGTGTGTGTGCGTCTACAGATGGAGTGCTTCAACTTCATCCGGGTGCTTGTCGAGCTTAACGAGACGCACCTCTTTGTTTGTGGGACGTACGCCTTCCATCCAATGTGTGCCTACATTGTAAGGCTTCTGCACACGCATAGCATTCACAATTACATCAGAATCTTTATTTAGACTGCAGGAGGAATCTGATGAGTTATGAAGCTCTTTTTTCACCGATGTCCAGTAGGGGGCGGATCAGAAAGTTAAATAAACTTCAATCTAGATCTTAAGTTTTCGTGAGTGCAATGATCCATACTCTTTAGTTCGTTCGGTAAAGTCACGTAGGTATAAAATGAAAATAAATTTAAAATAAATAAATTAAAATTAAAAACAGAATCAAAATAAATCCAATCACGACGTTTCGGAAGCAACACAAGCTTCCGTCATCAGGTGGGACAGCCATTAAATAAACTTGTTTTTTATTATCAGGTAAAGGGCACTGAGCTATTTAGCTTCTTGATCAGACGTGACCTAGTGTCGGTCACGTGGGCGTTGTTTGACCATACTTCACCACGCTGGTCGGCACGGGTTGAATGAAGTGGTCAAAAGGTCCGTGACCGCTTCAGATATTGCTCACCGCTTGGCACGCTCACACCTGCACGATGCCATCCATCGCAAACCAGAAATGGCATTTAAATTCGAGACGATAACCAGAAGCCTCTTCACTCGCAGGAGAAGGAGAACTTCACCCTGGTGACGACGACTCAAGGCGAGGTCCTGACGGAGGATGGGCGGGGACGCTCCCCGTACAACCCCACGCAGGCATACACGGCCACGCTCGCTGGTACCAGCCGCCCCCCCACCTCCTCAACCCTCTCCACCCGCCCCCCCACCCTCCACCTCCCACCCCACCAGCCTCCCGCCCCCCCACCCCCCACCCTTCCCCTCTCCACCCGCCCCCCCACCCTCCACCTACCACCCCACCAGCCCCCCCACCCTCCCCCTCTCCACCCCCCTCACCTCCTCCCCCTCTCCACCCGCCCCCCCACCCTCCACCTATCAGCCCCCCGCCCCCCCGCCCCCTACCCTCCCCCTCTCCACCCGCCCCCCCACCCTCCACCCTCCCCCTCTCCACCCGCCCCGACACCCTCCACCTCCCACCCCACCAGCCCCCCGCCCCCCGCGCTGCTACCCCGCAGCCACAACCACGGCAGCCACTCCGTCGTGTCGCGGTCCTGCCCTGAACCTCATCGGCTTGGTTCGCTGAGCCGTCGCACACTCTAATGCCACTGAGAGTGCTTGCCAAAGACAACTGATGTGTTTTTAACGACTTTTTATTAACTCTGTTATTTATTGTGGTCGGATGGATTAACACCTTCAGGGATCGGCATGTTTGCTGCCGAGGCAGCTTGAGTGGCAGCTGCAGAAAAGTCGATATTTCGACTTTTGATTCTGGCTGCTTACCAGTTTGAGTAGAGGATTAGCAAAGCGTAGCTTCTGCTGTAAAGTTGAATTTAATGGCCAGGTGCCCTGTGATTTCATTCATAGGACACAAAGTGTTTGTGTTTCAGTGTAAATCCACATCCAGAATTTTAAAATCACCGATAAATAAATAGTAATATTTTCAAAGATGCCTTATTCTCTATCACCAGAACGCTTCTGAGAAAGCAAGTTCACCTTTCTTCTCATAATCCAGTAACAATGCTGTTTAATAATAATTTACATCCATTTTCAATCCACTTCTGGATGAAGTCCTCACTACAATATATCATTCATCAGGTTCTTGAAAGTAGGGCGCCAAGGATTGGTTTACATATCACGTGCTGTTGATATTAGCCATAGCCAGGATTCGAACTCAGGCATTTTGGTTCATAGCACAGCGTGCAAACCACTGCGCCGCTACTCTATATAATTCACGTAATTAATACGAATATAATGTAACATAAAATTAATTGAAATGAGTCTATATTGTGCTCCACACCAAATATGAAGAATGACAGGAAATTACAAAGCGCGCCCTGTATTACTAGAATGAACGAAGGAGCGAACAAACGGCGCCCTCCTGTATGCTGTGCGGCACCGTGACCTCATTTTCTCTTCTCGTTGCATCAGATGGGGAGCTGTACTCGGCCATGATGAAGAACTTCCTGGGCACGGAGCCTGTGATTCAGCGCAGCCTGGGCAGCCGGCCCGCCATGAAGTCCGACCTACTGGTGTCCTGGCTCTACGGTGGGACAGCGCTCGCACTGCCACTCTCGCCAGGGCCTCTGAAATGTTTGTGGAGGCCCGAACAAAAAACGCCAGACGAAGCCCTCCTCCCTCCTTGCGGAACCCTCAGCCCTTTCCTGAGACACCCTTGGATCTGTGGCCCAGGGCAAACTGGACCCACCTGCCTGCTTCCCCCACCCCCTCTCTGTGGCCCTGACTCTTAGCTTAAAGCCACGGCGCCAAGAGTTTCTCGCAAAGACTTCTGGAATCTTCTACGATTTTATCCGCGTAACATTATATTACGTGGGTGGAATTGCACGGCGAGACCTCGCTGCTTATGGGGACTCGGAGGGTAGTTTTGGTCTCAGGATGGAGCGGATAATCCTCAGATGTGCCCTTGCTGACGCGTCGACATGAGCCGTTTTGTTTTTTGTGCGCCTGCAGAGCCGAGATTCGTGGGGTCGGAGTTCGTGCAGGAGGATCCCGAGGGCGACGAGGACGACAAGGTGTACCTCTTCTTCACGGAGACGGCGCGCGAGTTTGAGTTCTACAGCAAGGTGGTGGTGTCGCGCATCGCCCGCGTCTGCAAGGTACCTTGCTCCTCGTCGCCGTGCTCGGCGCTCGCACCTCAGAATCTGAATCCGAATCTTTAATGAGACTGCAGAAGGAATCCGATGAGCTATGGAGCTTTCTTTCACAGATGTCCAGTAGGGGTGGGTAAGAAAGTTACAATGGCAATACAAACAACGATGGGAGTGCAAAGTATAGGAAAGGTAAGCAAGTCATGAGAAAATAAACAATAAAGTATATAAGTAATATATATATATAAGTACCTCACCGCTGTATATGGGACTCCAGCCGCTAACCATTATGAGTACCAGGCTGTGCATCACCGGTGATCGAGCCTTGTATTGTGCGTGTAAATCCAGAGACTTGGTAACAATTCCCGACACGATGGGAGTAAGTGGCAATGGGGCGGGGGGGTGGTGTCAATGTTAAGCAGTCAATGAGGTTCCTGTTAATGGAGGGCAGAGCGTATTGCTTGGTGCGTGGGCCGTGGTCGTGATTAATGACAGAGTGGCAGCCAAAGGACGGAGAGCATTGCTCAACTGCACGTTGACAGAGAGAACTATAAACTATTTTTTTACTTTACCAGGTTAGGCCCGCTGAGCTATTATCTCTTTTTCAGAAGCGACCTGGCTACAAATGATAGCTCGATGAAGTGGTTTATCACGTGGATATTAATAGCTGCCAAATACTCTAGACAGCATGTTGATTTTAAATGTCGAGGGAAAAACCGGAGCACCCGAACGAAAATCCACGTGACCACGGGAAGAACATGAAAACTCCAAATAAACAGGCGTCAGGGTCGGGATCGAACCCATAACCTTCTGCATACAAGGGGAGGGAGTTAATGTCTCTCCACCACGGCACCCCAGAGAGTTGCATCGTGAGTTACCCGTGATTCGGGGGGGGGGGGGCGATGAGACGCTCACCGGCTTGCCGTATTTGCAGGGAGACGTGGGAGGCACGCGCATGCTACAGCGCATGTGGACATCGTTCCAGAAGGCGCAGCTCGAGTGCTCGCTCCCCGAGCGCAACATCCACTTCAACCTCATCCAGGACGTGTTCACGCTGCGCACGGCGCCCGGCCAGACGACCTTCTACGCCGTCTTCACCGTCGAAGTGTACGACCCTCACGTTCCCTGCTGGTTCACACTCTCACACTGAGCACGGCAGGGGTGTCCGTGTGGCTCGGGGGAGGGGAAGTGGGGAGGGGGTCGGAGGAGATTATTACGAGCGAGATGGATCATTGCGTTGCAAGACTGTGAGTGATAGGCGACAGCTGGGGGAGGCTTTCAGTGGATAATATGCGACTTTAGAATAAATGTGTTTCATCGATTGATTGAAATACTGCCACTGCAAGTCAACACCACTGACAGTAACCCGGAACTGTGTGTGTGCGCGCGTGTGTACACGGCGGCGTCGCCTGTTCTCTTCCTCAGTGGGGGCACGAACGTGTCGGCCGTGTGCGCCTACAGCATGGCCGACGTGCAGCAGACCTTCCAGGGCCGCTTCAAGGAGCAGAAGGGACCCGACCAGAGATGGGCCACATTCACGGGGGACATCCCGGAGCCTCGGCCTGGCAGCGTAGGTGCAGCACCACCACCACCCGCCGCCAATGACCAAATCCACCACCACCACCCGCCGCCAATGACCAGATCCACGCGGCAGTGTGGAGGAGTAGATGCTCATCTAGGCCAACCTGTGTTGTTGGTGAAATGTACGGACGGTAAATCATTAACGTCGTCCTTCATGAGGTGTTGAATTGTCAGGCTTCAGGGTCATGATTATATTCAGCACTGGCTTTGTTTTGCCCCATGGCGTATGTCGAACTAAGAGTTGTACAAATCGAGAGAGTGTAGCATGGAAGAGTAGGCAAAATACTCTGGAGCTCCCTCGAGTGGAGGTCCTTCTTCGGTCAGCAAGAAGTTGCAGGACTGCACTTTACCTTGCTAGAGTTTATTTACCACCCCCACCAAAACCATGTCGATAGATTTCCATGAATCATGCTGGTGATTTGAACCGGGAAATTATTATGTTCTGGCTGAATATGTCTGACTTGTCTGTACGGTCTCCAATAACTAATATATTGCATCAGCATGCCATTCATTTCTCTCCCGATTCTAGTAACATTTTGATTCTTACGCCAAACTCTATTACGGGGTTTCCTTATATACTTACCTCCTCTGTAACGACGACGTCACCCATATTTCCCCCACCCCACCGCCCCGCACCGCCCGCCCTTCCCACCCGCAGTGCCTCAGGGGCCAGTCGTCCCTGGACTTGCCGGACCGCACGGTCAGCTTCGCCAGGGACCACCCTCTCGTGGACCAAACGGTGGAGCCCGTGGGCCAGCGGCCCCTCCTGGTGGCGGCGAACGCGCGCTACACACAGCTCGCCGTGCAGACCGTGCGCTCGCTCGGCGGCGCTGACCACCGCGTCATGTACATGGCCACAGGTGAGCCGCCGCCACTGCCGGGGGTGAGGGGGTGAGGGTGGGGGGTGGGGGGTGGGGGTGGGGGGTGGGGGGTGGGGGCCACGGTGCTGTTGGCGCCTGCCGGTAGCCAGCGGGGGCCGATCGGACCTCCGTGGTCAAAGCGCCGGGCTACGTTGTAGAGGTTTGGTCAGGTGAGGTGCTGGCACCGGCGGTTGGGTGTAGGGGCCCTGGCAGTGGCGGGCTTTTAATACAAAAAATACGATGATATTGTCACGGTGAAATAGTTGCGAGCGTGCGTTTATGCCGTTGTCTCTTAAAAAAAAAGGTAAGATAATAAACGGCAGCGCAATTCAAAAGTAACGAGGGAATAAGTGAATATTAACAAGACTGAACTGTGAGATCTTGTTAATGCAATGCTATATTGTGAAATATAAATAGATATACGTCATTACGTATTTATATTTAACAAGGTCTATCTTTATTTTAATTGGACTTGTTACATACTCTTATAAAGTGTGTGATTATGCATCATACCCATACACACGTGTAATACAGTATATGTCTTGCTGGAGTTCTTCCCATGCAAATGGCTGTTAAGAAGAGTTAGCATATTCACCGTGATAGATGATAAATGTCACATTAAAGGTAGTCGTGACACAGAGTGTTGGGAGTCTGGTATTCTCTGGTGATGTTCACGATGAACAGTAGGCATATATCAATGATACGATTCTCCCATTAGCATCGATTCTTACTCTCACGATCTGTGCATTGAACGCATTTAATAACCAATTGTCAGAAAATGTCTCACAAATGCATTGTTAATATTGTGTTTGAGCTAATGGGACAAACACATTGGAACAGAAAATGCCAATGAGATTGGTAAATAAAACAGTCGATTCTTAAATTGAATCCTAACCCCGGAATCGGAGACAATTCATGGGATTTCCTGGGAGAATTGAATCATTATGTGTTCAATGATTAGGATGTTCTTGCTGTAATTTCAGATGCTGGGACTCTACACAAAGCCATAAATGTCAACGGAGACATGCATCTGATTGAGGAGATGCAGCTTTTCTCAGATCCCCAATCAATAAACAGCCTACTTCTTCTGGAAAAAAAGGTATACTGCACATGCACCTTTATCTGTGTGTGTGTGTATGTGTGTGTTTTGGGGGGAGCGGGAGTGTAGCGGTTAGCCCACTGCTCTACAAACCCGGCGACCCGAGTTCGATTCCCGCTCATGTCCAACACCGGTGACGATCATCTGAAACGATCCTGGGCCTCCCCTAGGTCAACTCGGCCTCAAAGGAGTACTTGGTTCATTGTGTAAACATCACCACTGGGGAGACAAAGGCGGCTGGGCATCGTGCGGACCACCCACCTCCTCGTGTGCTGCGCCGACCTTCATAGGTGCTCGCCTACAGAACTTCCTCCAAGAGTCCATTATGGCTACATGAGGGGGGTTGTGTGTGTGTGCGTTATTCTGTGTGTGTGTGTGTGTTATTGAGGCAAGTCCCATCAGTGTACTCATCTGTGGAGCAAAGCTGCATTTGCTTTGTCGTGTAGTCCCGCATGCCCAGCTACTTCCAAGGTGTGTGAGCTTTTGTTCAGCTGGATAGATGAGACAATACGGATGGGGGACAGGTTAGAGAATACACTGGCTGTTGTGGTTTAAGAGGAAGCGATGATGAATGAGTGGCCTTGCCTAAAGCTGGTTGCAGCTTTGTCAGCACAGACTTCTGTCGAGGAGTCTTGTGAAAAGGGTCACCAACAGCCACCCGCCAGCAATTCAGCAACAAAAAGATGTCGAGCAATGCTCATAACAATGTGCATAACATTGAGCAGCAAACACTGAATTTGACACAGTGGAGAGTGTCGGTGGGGCATCTGAGCGGGCTACACGGCCCGCTCAGCTTGCGCCGATAAGGCTTGCTGCTGTGATCATTCTGGCCGATTACCCCAACCCATTTTGCCCGGTCTAGCCAACCAATAAAACTTGCTTCCCAGTAGTTGTGGGAACGTGGTCTAACACTGCTCTGCCCCCTCTGCATCTATTGCTGCTGCTGCTGGCGCAGGGCCTGCTGTACGTCGGCTCGTCGTCGTCGGTGCTGCAGGTGCCCGTGGCGGACTGCGGCGCCTACGCCACGTGTGGTGACTGCGTGCTGGCGCGGGACCCGCACTGCGCGTGGGACGCGCAGTCGGAGCGCTGCCGCGACACGCAGGAGGCCGAGCCCGCATCGTGAGTGACAGGCCAAACGCGCTCGGCACATACTCTTAGTTTTTTCGGTAAAGTCACGTAGGTAAAAAAATGAAATTAAAATTAATAAAAAGTAAAATAATAAAAAATCACGACGTTTCGGAGGCAACATAAGTCTCCGTCGTCAGGTGGGACCGTCACAGCCAGATTTGCCGTATCAAGTGAGGCTCCGCACAGTCGCTCGCACGATCGGAGGCGGCGCATCGGAAAATATAACAACTGGTGAAGTTCAACCTCGTCGTTGATGCAAAACCCTGTGACCAAATCGGCCGGAATGGAACCCGCTCACGTCATATCTTGATAGGATTGATCCTGAATAGCGCTTGTATGGGTGACCGCCGTCATGCATGAAACAGATGTTATAGGCTGCTGTGTGTTTACATTGTCAGCAGGGGAGCAGTGATTAGCTCACTGCTTCATACCGCAGTGTGCTGGTGCGCCGCAGTGGTGAGATGTTAACTACCTCGCCTGGTATACAGGAGGTCATGGGTTCGATCCCAACCCTATTGCCTGCATATTTGGAGTTTGCATGTTCTCCCCGTGGATACATTTGCACATGAGTCATTTCTTTGGGCTTTCACTTATGGCCAGGTTGCTTCTGAAAAAGAGCTTTAGAGCTCAGTGGACCTTATTACCTGGTAAAATAAATTAAGTAATGTTGTGCTAATCACTGCGCCACCGCTCTCTCCTCGTTGAGATATCCGAACGTCACTGTGATTAGGCCTCTTGCACAAACTATTCGGGGAGACGAAGGCAAACGTTTGGAGAACGGTCTCTTCACTGGAGCGACGCGTCCCCCCCTCCCCCCTCACATGACTGCACGTGACTTATTGCTGCCTGTCGTGTGCCTCGCAGCGCGTGGATTCAGGACATTGAACGTGCGAACGCAAGCAGCCTTTGTCCCGCTGACCCAGGTGAGTCGAAAGCGCATGAGGTACGGGAGTCTTCGTGGTTTGGAAAGAGACATCTGGGAGCGTTGACACTTTAGCCACAACCACACAAGCGATGCAATGTTCGATGCTACAGATGTCTTGTTATTCCGACGTTTAATTGGTAATTTAAGCAGGCTATTGATCATCAATGCAGGTAGAATGTCTCGCAAGAAAGCCCTGGTTTTCATTTTAACCTTATTTATAACGGAACTATTCATTAGTACCGATGACCAAATCACCTGGAAAATGCACCCAATCTAATCACTAGACTTGTACTGAACTAAACCGTTACTGCGGATACATGTGAATTTAGTTCTAGTGATGATCATTACAGGAATTATATTTTGGAGGAACAACATCGCTTAATTCAACTGCTCTGTTTTCTTTGTCACCAAGCTGTGGTTGGGGCACTTGACTTACAACTTGAAAGTTCACAATTTTAAAATACGGTCATTTGGTTCAAAGTTAACTGAGCATTTGTCCAGGGTTGTTAAAGTAATACTGCTTCGTTAGAACTCACCGGTGGGTCCCTGTGGATAGACTAATCCATGCCATCAGAATGCAGAATTGCCACCACGAGCTCTGGGGCATTCAATGGAAATTGGCGCCATTACATCGCTCATTTGAGCAGCGAGACAAACTTCTTGACTTGAATTCTGCTTCAAATAGTGCTGCTCTATTTCCCCTGTGCTTGGCCGCAGTGGAGGAAAAGGAGGTGAGGATCCAGGCGGGCTTGCCGCTGCTCCTGCGCTGCACGCCACCCTCTAACCTCGCGACAGAGCAGTGGGAACGCGACAGCAGGCAGCTGACCTCGCAGGAGGTGGCCTACACTGTCTATCCCCGCGTTGGGCTGCTGCTGTCCTCGCCCGGGCCCCAATCCGTCGGCTCCTACATCTGCTACACGCTCGAGGGCGGCTTCAGGCGCGCTATGGCGAGCTTCAACGTTCGCATGCCGCCGACCACGACGACTACCACCACCACCACCACCAGTGCCCACCACAACCGTGCCTACCACCACCACCACCACCACCACCACGCCCGTCACCGAGATCACCCCCGCGGTGCACAAGAATTCCGACTTAGACGGTTCGGGGTTGGAGGAGATGACCAGGAACAACGCCTCCATCACGCCCACCGCTACGGCGCCCAGCACCACCGCGGGCTACGGCGACGAGAACGCAGGTAATGGCAAAAGATCAAAGTCGTTGTCACGTACTCGGGAGGAGACGCCGGAGGTTGTAATCAGACCGCAGACGCAAATGCAGGCGCAGTCGGGCAGCGAGGGCGTGGGCATGGTGGTGGCCCTGGCTGTCTCGTTGGCCGTCAACGTGCTGCTGCTGCTGTTCGTGGTGCACCGCGCGCGCGAGTGCAAGAAGCGCGTGGCACGGCTGGTGCACTGCGAGATGCCCGAGCGGCCTTGCACGCCGCACGGCACCAAGGCCGGGCAGAACCGGGCAGATGCGGTCACGCCGGTGCGGTCGCCCACCCACTGCATAAACATGGACCCCGACACGAAGTCGCCACTCATTGGAACGCCGGCTTTAAACGAATCGCAGGCGTAGCGGCGGCAGTGAGACGAAGAAACGCGCGGAGTCGCGGAACGGAACTGTGTGCTTGGTCGCATTTCAGGCAACTGCCAAGAAACTGACTAATCCTGTGTTGAACTTCGGCTGGGCTCACGTTGTGGGTCTTGTCGGCAATGAGGAGATGGATTAGAATTCTGGATTTGCAAAGGTTGATTAATACACTTTTCAACCGGCAGCTTTAAAACTTTCATTGTGCTACGCGAATGAGACTTTTATCCTTTTTTTAACAAAAGAAGCAAGAAGGGCACGAAGACGGACACACCTTGCAACTGATTTTCAAATCATTATTATTGAGAATCGCAAGCCATAAGGCTGTATGTACAACAATTACTCTGTGATGACCTTAAAGTGAAATCCTGTATTTTGAGGTTATTCGGAACTGAAAATTAAAGCAGCACAGAATCTATTTCATTTCAACAGATAGGTGATAACAAACAACGATTAATGAAACTTATTGAGTTGATCTTTTTTTTAGCAACTGCTCATTCATTTTGACACTTTGCCGAAACATAACTTTTTCCTTCTTAACTGTCATTGGTTTTCATAGGATGAGAATCGCTGTCTTCTGCACTCATTGTCAATCACGGAGCTCGCTTGGGTTGCATTTCGGCAAGTCGCCTTTCATTGAAGTGTACATTTTCACATTTAGGGCAGCTATGTGTGTGTTTTTTTAGGGCAAGCAAAGTGGTAAGTGTATAATTTAATTTTTATGACAAGATAAAAAAAAGATAAATCTTTTGGCCGAAAGCGTGTGTGTGCATTTTTTTGTAAGAGCCTCCTCCTGGCTTTGTTAAAGGCGTTCCATTGCGTGAACGTCTGTACAAGTAACACATCTGTGCACCTTAGTTTGGTTTTCTGAAGGACTTGCCATCTCTTTCGCCTGCGCCTTCACTTTTGAATTTTGCCACCATATGTATAAGAATGCTGCCCCCTAGTGCCTGTGTGTTTGCGTGTTTTTTTGGAGCTTCCAGAATTGAAGTATTGTTTTTGTGTCGTGGGCAATGTGGATAGGTGTTGGGGGGGGGGGGGGGACTGGAGATTTGATTGGCCAACTCCTAACACACATTGTGTTGTGGAGCTCGTGGCAAAATTAATAAATGTGGGTTCCTGCCAAGCAGGAAGCTGCCCCTCTCCTACAGTGGCACATACTTGCATAGCTCAGCATTGAGCAATGCCCATCAAGAACCAGGGACTCGCCAGCCAATGTGATGTTCACCACTGCTGCATGCCACACAGAGTCCTTGAACCATCCTTTAATCAACCGTCCAGGCATTACGGGGTTGTGTACATGTGCACGTGCTTTTTGACAGACGCTTAGTTGCACAATGCTTTTGGTGTCCGCTTGCCCACGCCGCAGTGTTGAACGCGGCCCATTCCCTTTGTTGTGTTTCACGTGCATGGTCACGCCGAGAGCGGTGTTCATGCACCGCGACGGGTGGGAAGGTGGCGCGATCTGAATTGCGCCGCCTCGCAGGAGCACTGCAATGGGCGTCGCGTCGCTGGGAACCTGCACCTTTGTTCACCTCGCTTGTTTTTCCACGTCAAATTATTTTTTTGCGCGCTTCATCGCAAAGGTTTAAAGCATGTGGGTTTGTCCGTCGTGTCGCTAATTCACGGGAAAAAAAACGTCGCGTGTTCAATCGAGTGAATATTTTAAGCGAATCGCCGTTTTTGTCAGTCGGTTGTGTTATCTTGGGACGGTACTCATCTCCGATGGTGGTCCTTGGCCAATGGTGAAAATTCCACGTTTCTATGGCAGGGGCCTGTCTCAACACAGGATGGCTGCTGTTGACTTCTCGCAAAGTGGCAGTCATTTTAATTACCACAGAGAGCTGTTGGCCTGGGTCGTCCACCCCAGCAAGGAATTTTACTTTCAACCTTCTGACTGCGAGTCGAGCACTCTTGCTGCAGTGTTAACTGGACTATAAGTAAAACATTTTTTTCGTGTTTTGATAGTTTTTAAACTTTAAACATGTTCAATAAAAAATGTGCACAGTTCCGAGTAAATCAAAAATTTGCGCAGGGTATAGTCCTGCATACACACGGGCTCGTGAAACACTGGGTACATCATGGTTGAAAGGGCCATTGTTTTTATGCCTTTATTTTGTTAAATTAATCAATCGTGGGAAAATAAAATTACCGTAACTGTACTTTACAAATTGGGACCGGGTGCTTTTTGCCAATATGTCTGAAAGTATTTTTTGTCGACCTTGTGGGTCTGTAAAACAGCAAGAATTAAGGGGAAGAGCAACATACGTTTTCGTAGTTATAATTAGCACTTAACAGGCTTGGAACAAACAAACAAAAAAAACTGCAAACTGTCATCACACAATTCTGCAATGGGAAAACATTTTTTGAGGAAAATTATTGGGTGGGTCTGAGGCAGGGGTTGGAGAAGGAGGTGGGGGTGCAGGTCATAATACAATTGCTATGTATCGTATTAAAATCAAATGGTAAGTGAGATGTGAATTGTGAGCGAGTTAAAGCTTGTCTGTACAGTTCCTTATTTTTAATTTTTAAAATAAAACCTTTTTTTCCAGAACTCTCCCATGTAATTTTTGTTTTGGGCTTATTTGTTCATATACTGAGGAATGTAAAACCACCGTCTTTTTTCAATTCAAAAACGGTCGCTACCCTTTTTTGGTTTTTTTTATAAAATAACTTTTTTTTAAAGCTGTAAACCAAAAGCGTCGTTATTTTCTGTTGCTCGAGTAACTCACCGTATGACCTCACCTCGAATATAACACGACGCTTTCTCAAGAGCACAAAGCACGCTGAGAATTCCTGTTATGTTTTCCTGTTTAAGACATCTTTTTGCCTGTTTATTATCACTTTACTTTGCATGCAACCAGTGGAACGCTGCATCGTTTTTCTGAGTGCCGTTCCCTGTTTCAGATTCTCACTGCGCACTTTTGTGTCTCTCCCTCTCTGTTTGCCATCCCCCTGTCCTCTTGCCTGCGGCCTTTTTCCAGCTCGCTCCTCCTCTTCTTCTTCATCCTCATCATCTTCTGTCTCCTTCGCACTCCCTCATGCCACCCTCGGCTCTAACGCGGCTCGACTGCGCCTCTCCTCCTCCGCCGCTCCGTCCGTGGACCCGGCGGCGGTGGCGGCGGCCGCCGTCATCTTCGCGTCTTCCGAAGGGCCCCTCGGGGCGGAGCGCCCGGCGCTGCCGCCGCCGGTGACGCTGCTGCCGCCGCTCCTCTCTGAGCAGAACCAGAGTTGGTGCGGCGTGCAGCCTGTGCACCTGTTCTGCCGCGCCAGCGGTAAGCGCCGCTTCACCTTGCCGCCTCGCCGTGCCGCCCCCTCCCTCCCCTGCTCTCGTGCCGCGTCTCGTGTAGTGGCGAGGCGTCGGGGGTGGGGGGGAGATGGGGTAAAGATTTGCTCACGAAATTGAAGTGCTTTCTCTAGCCCCCCCTTCTTGTGTGGTGGACATGGGGGGGAACAAAAGGACATTTTGCTCTGGACATCAATGCAAACTCCTTCCCCGTTGCCAACTGGGAAGCAGTGAATGTGTTTTCGAAAAACAACTGTTTATTTCTATTAAATATCACAACCACTTTCTACACGCCAGACAAATTGACAGTAATTTTTAGTGGCTTTCCATTAGAAATGAAATTAAAGATTCGACATCCCAGAAATGTGATGAATTGTCGCAATTCAGTTAAAGAGGCTTTTTTTTTACAGCATTCCCCCAAGTCGGTGCTGGCACTGCAACAGAGGGAGCTCGTGAGACGAGTCTCCAGCAACATGTGACCCAATTCCGCCACTCATGGTAGCATCTTCAGTAATTCAACCGCCAAAAAAAAATGCTTGCAGGCCAGAAACAAATGTCAAAATGTCATGCTGTGACATGCAAAGCATGCTGGGATTCCCGTTCTCCTTTTGCTGTTCAAGACACATTTTGGCTTGTATATGGTTACTCATGGCTTGGCTTGAAATACTAGATCGCTTCTTCGATTCAAATTGATTGTTATGCTCATGATACGTGCGTCAAACTGTGCGTGTGAGAATTGATTGTTCGTTTATTGTAGATTATATACAAATAATATGGTCATGTCACGTTTGGGCTGACTGAGAAAAGACATTTGTTAAAAAAAATGGAAAGAATATGCCACAAATAGAGACGGTAAAACAAGGAGCCAAAACAGGAGCTTAAATTATGATAACGAAGCTGAGCGATGACAATTCATCAAATTGTTGAGGGGTTGCGCCTTGTTTGGCGCCGTCCATAAATGACGCCACGCACCTAAGGTGGGGGGGTTAGACATTTGTGACGATGTGTGACGAAGGGGGGGGGGGTTTGAGAAATGTGACGTCACAAAATGTGCAACTTTAAATAAAAATAGACAACACGTTCTACTTACTCCTTGTTTTTTTTTCTGTAAAGTCGCATAGGTTAAAAAAAGAAAAAGAAAATAAATTAAATCACGACGTTTAGGAGGCAACACAAGCTTCCGTCTTCAGGTGGAACCGTCACAGCAAAACTACTGTATCAGCTTGTGTTGCCTCCGAAACGTCGTGATTTATTTCCTTTTTTAACCTACGTGACTTTACCGAAAATACCAAAGAGTATGGATCCTTGCAGTCACGAAAACTTCAAATCTGGAACGTTCTACTTAATTAAATAGACATTTTAACACATTCCTGCGGAGGGAACTGGTAGGAACGTTGGGTTGCTCGGTCAATGGCCAGGGTCAACGGCGGCGTGGTGTATTCCGCAAATATGGCCGACTGAGAGCGGGCACAAGCCGGCGTGAGTAGGTTAAACGTTGAGTTTTATAGGGGCTGGCACCACGGGGTCACCAGCCCCTCACCACCCAGCCCCACCCTCCCCACCCAGCCCCTCCCCTCCCTACCCTCCCCACCCAGCCCCTCCCCTCCCTACCCAGCCCCTCCCTCTCCACCCAGCCCCTCCCTGCACGATGGACGAACGGACACAATAATCCCCTGTGGGCTGGTGTAACCAGGAGGTTCCTACCAGTAATAAATGTTTTCTCCTACAACATCAGAGTGCAGCGCCACATTAAATACGCACTACAATGACAATAGTTTAAAGCGATTTGAAACATGTTTTATTTGGGGGGGGGGGGGGCAGAGCTTTGTGACGTCATATTTGAGGGGGGGGGGGTCTGACTTTTTGTGACGCCGTGTGACTAGGGGGGGGGGGGTCATAAATCGTCCAAAATCGCGTGACGTCATTTATGGACGGCCCCTTACATGTCGACTGTTTACCCAAACATTCAACCCTACGCTTGGCCCTCGCTATAGAACAATGGGACGCCCACCCCTGGGCCACGGTTCTATACAGGACATGAGCTCCCTCACTCATTTTAACTGGAAACCACTTTCACATTTGCAATATGTAACGCAGAGATCCACCGCCGTGGCGAATCAAAACATTTACACAGCTACACTCGGCAGATCAGCCCCCCCCCCCCAACCCCTTGGGCACTACAACAAGCGGTGCTCATGAGACGCGCGTCTGAAGGAACACGTGACCCGATTCCGTCTCTCCTTGCCGCATGAGCCGCACGTGGGAGTGCGGTGATGTCATCACTGGAGTGCTGGCATCATTGTTTTTGTTATTTAACCCACGTGCGGCAATCTCGCCACTATACACCCCACCTCGCTTTGCGTTTCTCTCCGCTCATTGATTCGTGTTTCCAGCTTGTCATACCGACAAACTGAAAGTGCGAACATTATTGCTTGCATCACCACATCAGCTCTGAGTTGTTTATTTTGGCCTGCGCATGACAGATTTAAAGAAAATTTGGTTCAAAAGTGCTCAAAGTGTGGGTTTAGTGTTGCGATGACTAAGTATTTCTGAATTCCCAATTAAGAAAATATTACGCTGCACTAATGTTATTCCCAGTTGTTAATCCGTAGACGTTAAATGGGCTGTGTCGAGTGGTGGCGGGTTTAACGACGCTTATGTTTATGCAATTTAACCCCCCAAAAACGTTTGCTATAGACGTTTCTTCATCAAACTTTGCCTCTGGCAACCCAGCAAAAAATGGGAACAAAAAATGGAAAGAATACTAAGCCAATTCAGTATTCAGCGGAGCCAGTGATACTGGGAAAAGAAAAAGAACCACGGCGTAAATTTGTTCAGTCCCATCATCACCACTGAGCTAACAGAAGGGACAGGTAATGATGATAACGATGTTGATTATCCTCCCCCCTCTCCTTCACTCCACCCCAACACTATGGGGGCATCCGAAAGCTCCGTTACTCTTCGTAGTCGCAGCTTAAGATGCACAACGGCCCAACACCGCCGCTCGCAGCGTGGAGTCCTCACGGGCCGCTCGGCCCTGCACACGCGTGCACACAGGTCCTCCGGAGCTCTCCGTCACGTGGGCGCGCGACGGCCAGCTGCTCAGCAGAGTGGACTACCACGTGGACGTTGTCCCCTCGCACGGAGGCTCCCTCGCCGTCGCCACGTCCTGGTTGAGGGACGCGGCGCCGGGGGACGTGACGTACACCTGCTCCGCTCGTTGGCGGGGGCAGGCCAAGTCCTCGAGTGCGCTCGTACGACGGGCAGGTGAGCCAGGCGCCCAGCAGGTGTCCTCCCGTGAACGTGCGCGCTCTGCAATTAGCCCGTGAGCCCCAAGTGGTTTGGTTGGTTGGCACCATCTGGGGTGGAAAATTATACCATTGTCCACCATGGGCAGTGTCCACACTGAGCAGAAAGTGTAGCCAACACGCTGTTTTTTTTATACACCTAATATTTATTGTCGTATTCCATAGATGATTCATATCACATGCGGGTTTTCCCCAAAATTATTTTCTCTATTAATATACTTTAGTACCCTCGTCTCATGATATTATTGCCATAAAAAGGCTATAATAGTGACCTTGCTATCATACATAGGTGTATTTTACAGATAAAATATGTCAAGAAAATCATTGGTAGCATTTGCCACCCTTAGTTATACCAAACAAGCCATTTTGGGGCAAGGACCAGGTGACAGCGTTTGCCATGAGCCAACCAAGCAAAAGTATTCGGGCCCCATGTAGTTCGATTCATGAAAAAAATGGGTAAATCAAATATCTCAAGTTCAATTGCGAATAAACATAAGTAAATGCATCTTGTGTTTCCTAACTCTGAAAAATACGTTTTGATCCCATAGCTGCTGAAGTGCTTTATCATAAAATTTGTGTAGGTTTGGATACTAAAGATAATATATAACACACCTTCTCTACCTGGAAATCAAATGCATTTTCACAATTTAACGTCACTATTCATGCAAGATTCAATTAAAGTATTTCCATTGTAATATATTTTATAATTATGTGGCTCTTAAATACTTCGCTAATTCAAAGCGCCTTACATCACATCTGAAATATTTCATGGGAACCCCGATTGGCAGCTGTCCCTGTGTGGCACAAGACGACTCAGCACTGGCCTGCAAGTGGGCGTTTGTCTGCCAGTAGGGGGTGACAATTGATATGTGTAATTGCAAATGAGTAATTTGCAGGTATTTTTTTGGAAGTTGGAAAGTGTGCACCATGACACCGACACACAAACGCCTATTCATTTTGAATTATGTCAAGATAACTTTAACGTCAGCTATTTTATGGTTACAACACCCGATTAATGTTAGTGGCTCCTAGTGGCTGGTGGGGTTACCTGAACCCATTACATACAACATTGATTTTTACACACGCAATTCTATAGAGGTATCATGGTCTTAAGAGTCAATTTTAAACTATGAACCAGTGCAGCATTACACCCCTATCGAATGCTGTACATTCACTAACTATGCCACTGCACTCTCCACTCTGGATCAGGCTCTGACGCAGATTATCAGGATGCATGGAATATGGAGTTTGTACGATGGAAAAGTGCAGCTCGTGACCACGCCAAGATGATGCACCTTTGGAAAAAAGCCTTGGTGAGGCTGCACGGGAAAGCCATGATGAATACTGAACTGTATTGCTGTCCTACCAGTGTAAGGGAGGGGAGAAAAAATGATACTCTGGCAAAGCATCAGCATGCTTACTTATATATTTATTTTACAATACTGTATATTTTTCCATTATTTCAGCCTAAATGCATTGTCTTGCTCGCAATTTGATTTTCATTTTAAAATTAATCAGATAACAAAATACAGATTTATATATGGAATATTGAATGTCTCTATTGGGAAGCAAATGCTGCCTTGAAAGTAAATGCACGTCCAAAATGCACTGCTCATATTCCCATTGTGGGATAGTTCAGTGCATAACGATGATTAAGTATTACACATGCAGGACATGATTACGTGTTTATTAAGGCACATGTGTTTCTAAAAACATGTTTTTATTTTTCTCGTATCATGTATGAGGTATATTGGAGTCACAGACCTCCCGCAGATATTTTTTTTTAAAACTCTCACCGTTCAGTACAATTCATACCTTTATGCGAGACAAATGCATGAATTAACATCGAACTTACTATTTGGTAATGCTGCTGCGTTGGCAGTGGTGCACGAGCACAGAATACTCAACACATTTATCAATATCACTGCCTTAAAAGGAAAAGTTTTTACTGTAATAGGTGATGTAGTTAAAACAATCCGGCTTATATAATTGAAAAACATGAATATATATAATACTCAAAGCATTACGTTTATATCATCAAGGTGCAACAAGGCTTATCTGGAAAAAGATTCGTCCTCGCACAAATGGCTACTAAACACTAAATTAGTGCTCAGTGTTTAAATCTATGAAAACAGCATTCCAACGCTATTCAGATTAATATACGTAAAGGATTGTCGCGGCTTTTCGTACAAATCAACAAAACATTTTGGAGGGGTTCATAAAAAGGATCTCTAAGCGTACTGAATGTTGTTGGCTTTAAGTAGATTGTGGGCTGATCTGAGAGCATCAGGTTTCTGTGAATTTTTGTATGGATGTGCCTCTTAAATGTTATCAATCTAAGTCAATATCTTTTTAGTTTTTACATTCACAAGTCATTTTTTTTGTATGACAGAGCACCAACTGTGTTAAAAAAATAATCGTATGTCAGAATGTTGTGGAACCGGGCTGAGGGTGATAACAGATTCAGTTCTGGGTGGATCGCTGCTGATTCAAAATCAAGCTCAAACCTTTTCATTAGCCAAACCAGTAATCGGCGGAATGACCCCACTCTGAGTGGTTATCTCAGAGCTTATCTTCACACACCCACCACGTCGCTCACCACCGAAAGGAAGATGTGAAACAAGTAAAGTAATTCCAGAAACAGACACTGTGTTCATCACATTCCATTGGAACCTTTCTGCATTAGGACTGCTACCTGTCCTGGTTTAACCAGGATCATCCGTTGTTGTGCTAACCCACCTAGGGAAATCTGTAAGTCTTCCCGGGACATTAAAAGTCCAGTTTTTTTTTGTATCCGTTGTGTGGCAATAATAAGAACACACTTCTCAAGACAATGAATTTAAATACCGTTTTCCCCTCTTCCAGGATTGTGACATTCTTCCCGTGCTATGTCCCAGTTCTTTTGTTTTGTACCTCAAGAGGTGGCGATCTTAGTTCCCGTAAGAAATTGCCTTCTTTCGATTTTTATTTTATTTTGCACGCAGACGGAGAGCTGCCTCGTGGATCGCGATGGAAACTAGCCCCATTATTCCGGGAGCTGCTGCGCTGGGCGGCTGCACACAAAACCTCCTCCTCCTCCTCTTCCTCCAGCCCGGCACCATGGCAACGCGGCTCCTCTCTCTCTCTCTACAGAGGAGCCAAACGTAGGAGCCGTCCCTTTAACTCAGGGCTGCGTGCTCCCACTCTCATTAACTGCTGCATTGGAGCGGCTGCAACGGTATATGTGAAACTATACACTGAGTAGTGTACGCTGCACACACGTTTACACACTCGCGCACATTCACATCTTGTACGTGTATATAAAAAGAAGTGTTGCTTATTGGGTTTTGTGTGTTTTTCAGCTGTGAGATATATTTGAAAATAATTTGGCAAAAAGATGGTTTTTTTCTTTATTTGTACATGACTGGGGGATGAAGTAATCTTTAAAGATGACGGTTGCTTATCTAGTTAGTCTCCAGCAAAGGCGCATTCACAAAATATGTTAACTTTATCTTCCATTTTATAAAAAAAAATTTATACTTACCAATTTCTATTTACACACACATATACCGTACGTGTACATGCAGACACACACACTCATGCTGCACCTACTAATGAAAAAACAATTGGTGGAAAGGAAGGGGGTGCATGATGTGGGGGGTGGGGGGGCACTATTGTTGGATCGCTGCAATCCTTTTAAAGGCGCCAAAAAACTAAACGCAGCACGTTTGGCATGGGCATTGTGAGCAGCCGGCCTGTGCTGCATTTAGATTGGGAAAAACCATCTGGCAAGGAGTATGGGGGGGGGGGATTGTGTAGCACAGCCGCATTTTTCTCCCCCCCCCTCCACCCCCGCAGCTCAAAGCTCGTTGATATCTTCTGAACGATCATCGGAGAGTTTTAGCCGTGCAAATGTTAGCAGAGAACGGTGCCTTCTTCAGGATGAACAACAACAAAAAAACCCGCTGTGAAGTTTACAATTGTATAGGGGCGCAAAATCGAGTTAATGTAGATGATGTGTAAATGTAGAGAGAGAGAGTCGCATGACGAAGTCGGACCGCGCGCGCGCGCGCGCACGTGGGAAGCATTTGGAGAGCGAACGCGTGCTCCTCCTCTAGACGCGAGACGATGTGTCACGCTATTCCGCAATACGCGCGTGGTAGCATCGCTGTGCAGTGCAACCATCCTTATGTAATCGTGCTATTATTGGCCACGCACCAACGCCATCGGTATTCTCTGCCACGGTTTTGTCTAATGCCATAAATACACTGCACCGACAACAAAACGCAAAAACACGAAAACAATGCTGTGAGTTTGTGCACCATCGAGGTTCCTTTATTTCTGAAGAGGTGGAAACGAAATCATCTCGAGTCAACAAAACGCCCATTTCAACGTCGGCCCAGTAGCACAGTTGAATAATTTTGGTATTTTTCCAGAGAATCAAGTCCACCGGGCAGCAAGCTGACGTCAGCTCTGCAAACCCCAGACTGGCTCATTTTACATCACACCACGGGGTTCAAACATGAACGCTGACCTCGTATTCATATCGTCGTAGCAGCTGCTTATAAGCACACCCGTTGGGAGCATGGCCAGGTGTGCTTCTATCTGAAGTTGTGTGCTTGTATAAGACAATTTCATTTGCCCTTCCCCTACGAAGTTCAACATACATACGAGTGCTTTGTAGGTATGTGTTGATTACATCAGACAGAACTGTGGTCATGTTTGATGTGCTTATATACAGTTTCCACTAGTGCTGGGTACAGTCGGGCATACACAATGTAGGTGCTGTGTACACTGTGCTCAGAGTGTGGAGTGGTGGCTCAGAGGTCACCGCACTGCACTATGAACCTGCCAGCCTGGAAGTGCAGCCATTGGCTCACATCAATGGAGGCTGATCGCTGAACCGGCCCTAGACTCGTCCGTCACCTATTCGCACTGATCAGCGTGGTAAAGAATAGTTAAATATCCCCCTTAAACTGTTAATATGCAAAGTCAAAATATATAGGCGTCAGGGTCGGGGTCCAACCCACGACATCCTGTATACCGGGCGAGGAGTTAACATCTCGTCACCGTGGCACCCCCTGATGCATGGGGAGGACTCCGTTCAGCAATGGATTGATCAAAGGCTGAAATATGTATTATGTTAACTCTGCTTGTTTATGACACACACATATATATATAGATATTCATATGATAGATGAAGAGACTGCCCCCGCCATGGAAATGCATCATTTCCATCACTGACGTCACGCTGCCAAAATGTGACTTTTTATAATATACAGCAGAATAAAATTATATAAAAATCTGAAATCTAAGCCCACTGTAATATACAATCTTGGTAAGTTATAGAATTTTTTTTAAATTAAAATTACACTATTCACTCATTAATCGCGAGGGACAGGTTATGTAGACCCTTTTGAATAGCAAATTTCGTAAATAATATTGGCCTACGAAAATCCTTAAATAAATACATCACTTTATCTCTCATCACTTTTTCTCGTCATTTTATCGTATCACTTTATCGCATAATATTCTCTCTCATCACTTTCTTTCTCTCTTTCTCGATGCAGTCGTGTAGTTTCAGATGCAATACGCAGATGGCCAAAATCGCGGATAGCAAGTTCGTGAATAACGAGGGAATACTATCGTTGTGTGGAATTATCTATCACATTAATCCATACACCTTTGTGTAGTTCTGAGTATAACATTACCTAACCCTCTGACAATGGTGGCTCGGTGGCTTTAGCCTTGGGGAGAGACAAACTCAGCCTCGGATTTTCCAGTTCCAGGAACATGTGCAGGTGGTTAATTAAGTGATTGGAATGTGATGCCAGAGCTAAAACACCAGCGCACAGGTGCATGAAAATGAGGATGCTTCGCAAACGAACCAGGCAGGTGCAGTGCCGGATTATCCGAGTAGCAAAAGGAGCACATGCTATGGGCCCCGCGTTTTCAAGGGCCCCGCGCTAAATGCTTTCAAGCTATCAATTCCGGTTCAGTGATTCTGCACTTGCACTATCACTAGAGTACTATACTGCCTTCAACTTCTATGAACGACTGGGTGTTTAACGTTAGCTATTTGTGGTATTATCTGGCTGTATAGCAAATAAAAAAAACACAATTACTTTACTGTGCAAATTAAACATTTATGTGTTTTAATGTTTTTTTTTTTATATGGCCCCTTTATAATACAGTATATGCTCCAGGCCCCGCACTAGCTTAATCCGGCACTGGGCATGTGTCTACCCAGAATTGGAACGCCATCATTATTATTACTACAACTCGACGACGTGATGCCTGTGCATTACATCCGGCCACGTGGTGTTAAGACAACAGTGCTTTACTGACAATAGGAATGGGTGCAAGTTCAAATGGTCGTTGCAGCCCATCAATCTTGTACTTCTTTCTCACTGTTGCCTGCATGCACTGTTCGTAGACAACCGTGCTCGTTGCAGTTAGTCACTATTATTTAAACTTGCGGCCGTCTGGAACGCTCGTCCTTCTGCTATTAGGAAGCCACCAGCGTTATGCACTTTTAAATTTAGATTGAAAACTAATTTCTTTAGAACAGTTTTTTTGTGTTTTAGTTCATTGTCCTCCCCCCGCACCTCCGATTAGCACAGTTGGCTATTGTACGGTGCGAAAGAAGTTCAACATACATGCATGCAAGTTAGGGGTGTGTGGGGTGTGTCAGGTAGGGGTGGCACCTCTAAAAGGGGAACAATCATACCTCTCTGAGTAGCGGTTGGCCATTGTTAGTCCCCACCAGCTCTCACCTGTGGCTCCTCGCAGTTACCTGCACGCGGCGGCAGCGGCCACATGCCGGAAAACCGCCTCGACTGGCGGACAAAACCAGGCGAGGGTAGCCAACGGGTTTGAAGCCCTTGGTGAGACGAGCCCATTACACTCCCCCCTCCCCGCATGCGAAGACTTTTCCCGCTGGAGGGAGCTGAACAGATAAATCTAGCGTCTTGACGGCCACGAAGGGCTCAGAGCAATGGCGAGGCACTGAGAAACCCATTGGTCATCCATTGCATCCGGTCTCATCTCCAGTTGTCTTGAAGGGCCTGGACAAGAGAGTATTAGGCAGACGTTGTGCAACTCTCCCTCGCTTTAATCTAATTCAGCTGCAAGTCGTGACATCACCCACCATCGATACCAAGTCCTGTGGCGATGGACGAGCGATGAAGCAGCCGGGAGCTGTAGCCGCAGACCCGCACACAGGTGGCTCGGGCCAGAAGGTCATCTTTCGCTGGATAGAAGCGGCGGTGGAACTCCCTGAGCGACCAAGCAATCCTCTTTCATGATCACACTGCTCACCTCCGGGGCATGAGGAAGGGGCTGGAAAAGGTGCCCTTAACGATGTCTGCTTCATCCACCCGAGCCAGCATATCATGGCTGGCGGGGATTCGACTTCTCTGTTCTCGTCAACAAACGTTTGAGTCTGCCAAAATGAGTGAACGATCGACTCATGACTTTTAAACTTCCCTTGAAGGAAAAACGGCATACCGCTATTGTCCTTGCGTATGCACCCACAATGACAAACCACCTCGGGTTGAAAGACATTTTATGAAGAGCTGAACACATGCATATCAAACACCATTATACTAAGCTTTTGTAGATTGAGAAGACATTTGATTCAGTGGAAAGTGATGCAGGGTCTTAATCATATTTAAATTATCTAAACATTGATAAAGATGGACCAAACATGCTGCAATTATATGAAGTAGAAAATCAGATAAACTATTCAACCCTAAACGGGAGCCAGGACCTCAGCGTTACAGCTACTCGAGACACAGGGATTGTGTGTCTGGGGTTCTTAAAGTGCTCATGTAAATGATTATGGCATTAGTTGTTTGAGGAAGATTGTGCAAAACTCTAAGCTTCTGGAAAAATGTACAATGTGGGTAAGAATATAACCCTTATGAAAATAAAACAAACACAATTTGGATTTAAATAACGTTTGAATTTAAGTACACCTCAATATAGTCATAGGAAGACCTGCCTGTAATCATGATGAAAGGTGACAATTGTAATTTAAATGGTGACAGTCTAAAACGTGTCTAGTTACTTGTAATTAAAAATGTGCTCCAAGTCTAAAAAAGTTGTGGTAATAAATGGGAAAGTACATCTAAAATAAGCTTCTTACATGTGTTAAAGTACAGCGTGTATATATGCACAGCGTCTTTGTTGTGACTCAATTTCATTGGTGAATGGCTGTTATTATTACGCACTGACTGTAGGCAGCAGCATGAACGTGAAGAGTATTGAGTTGCTTTAACATCCAAGATCTTATATATGTTGGACACAAATAACTCGCATTTCACTTCTTTCTTAAATAGCATAGCCAACTCTTAAAAAAATAAGCCTGTAGTTCTTGAAATAACATACATTGCTTCCTTCTACGAGTTTAAAATCACCATACAATTTATTTAGGATTCTATTGGGATTTGTACAGTTGTGTAATTTTGGAGTGTGAAATTGGAATTGTATTTCAAAGTGCATTGTCAGGTCTACGCACTAAATTTTAGGGCCTTTTTTGCACATCGTACATATTCTATTTGGTGTGAGACCTGATTGAGGTAACAG